TTAGTCATCTGAACATATTTATAATCATTCTTTTGGATACTTTGTCTGGAATTTTGTTTATGTCACTCTCACTGAGGGTCATTTTTGGAAGAAACAAAGTCTTATTTTTTTCATGTTTTTGTTGCTGCACTGGAACTTGCACATCCGGAGTTAATTTTTTATTGATTTTTTTCCTTATTTTTTTCTTTCTTTCTTCTTTATTCAGATCATCTTTCTTCTTTCTGAGGAAGAATTAAGTTGTAATGGGGTTGAAATGTTTTTTTCTTCTGTGGGACTGTTGTTCAGGGACACAGACTCTATCTCTAGTCTTCCTCCAAGAGTCCACTACTGTGTGCAATAATAGTCACTATCCAGGAGTCAACACTGTGCAAATAGAGTACAGCTTCTACACAATAATCACCCCTTAAATACTAGTAGTTTTAGAGAGTACAGTGGTACTGACAGTACCACGTATACTGATATGTTATTTATTATATGCATAAATGAAAGAAAAGGAAACCAAATGGTAGGATGAGTGATAAGTATTAGGATGACAGAAGAGATGAATGGGAGAAGATTTTGTAGGTATAGAAAGGTGAGGAATGAGACTGGAGAGATGGCTCAGAGGTTAAGAGCACACTCTGATCTTGCAGAGGTCCCAGATTCAAGTCCCAGTACCCACATGGCAGCTTATAACCATCTTAACTCAAGTTCCAAGGGTTCTGATACTCAGTCCTGTCTTCCAAGGGTGTCAGGCACATACAAGGCACACTACAACAGAATTGCCAGTAGTTACATGAGAAAATAGCCAATTATGAAGAGAATCTAACCTATTAAAGCCTTAGGAAAAAAATACAAACACAAAATATCTGAAGTCAAAAGAAAGTAGCCAAATTGCACATACAAACAGATAAGCCCACAGCCACACTTATTCCTACACCCACACCCATACACAAGCACAAAGATTGTTGTGGCATTTTTATGTGATGCCACATTACAGTGATACCTGAATAAAGAGAGCCTGACCCAGCATCCATTTCAGCTAAGAGGGACCCAAACTAAATACCTGTTCCTTCAGATTTCTCTTGGAACTGTGCTTTAGAACAAGGGCTCCCTCTTTGTTTCATTAAAACAGTCTTCAGCATGAAATGGGGAAGGAAAACACTGAAGGATTTGTGTCAGGAAATTTTCCCTTTCTGACCCCTACTGACCTAGAATAGCACACACAACCACAAACAGACATTATCAATTTAATCTCTGTTGTTTGCAACACAAGTGGGATAATCTTCACTGCTTCCAACAAACAGGTAAAACACACACACACTCACACATTATTTTGGGTCAAGGAAGGCTCATCAAGGATTAAGACTATATGTCCAGGTCACAAGAGGAATACAAGGCTCAGTGAGATTATCTACATTATAAACGAGCTAAAATAAGATTAACTCTTTGGTTGTAAGTTTAAGTAAAAGTCATTTGTCCAGAGAATGTCCATATTGTAAACATCATTACCATGGGCTGTAATCTGAATTAGATGTTGGTCCAAATTTACCCTCAGTGGGGTGTCATAATTCCTCCAAGGTGATTTGCCCTTTGTAGTGATTTTCTCAGGTAAGGAGAAGAGTAGCAGCTCACTGACATAATCAAATTAAGCCTGTGTCCTTGGTGTGCCAGCAAAGCATGAGTTCTTCAGCTGTTGTAGGTTGGCCTGGTTCAGGTCTGTACACCACCTCTTAGGGCCTGAAGCACCTTGCTAACTTACCCCTGGGCTGGTCACCACCGCCAGTGCTTCTGCTGCTCTATTCTGTGGGTCTTCATAGGCCTGAACGTCCTACCCTGAGTCAACTCCAGCCTGCTCCCTGCCTGAAAAGCCTCTGCCATGTATTGTAAGCCCCTCAACCCCTGGGCACTCCACCCTGGATCAGTTCTGACATGTTCTCTCCATTGATCATTTTTACCCCCCAAAAAAAACTTTTGAAAGCTTCATCTGGCATTTTACCCATTTCAGTGTCTTTGAGTCTGCAGCTGAGAAGCTGTGGTCCCTTGGAAGAGTCATGTTGCCTTCTTCCCATGTTTCTTGTATTTCCATGTTGTGATTTGTGCCTCTGTCAGTTTGTGTATCTCTTCTGAGTTTGGGGGAATTATTATTATTATTGAGTAGCCTACTCATGAAGGCTCAGCCGCTGGTACCACTCAATGAGGAAGAAGCAGACCATATAAGATACGGAAATGCGTTTAAAATCAATTACAGCCCACTACCACATCACCAGTGATCATGAACTGAAAGTGGGCTATGAAGTGAAAGGTTAGGATAACCTTGAGATAGTAAAGATGAAGGAAGGCAGCAGGGAGAGGGGAGAAGCAGAGCAGAAGCACGGTCAGATTAAAGACACAGGGGAAAGAGTGAGTGACTAGCAAAAAGAAAAACAGAAATGATTTCCTAATAATTAAAAGTTTAAAAGCAAAATTCAATAAATGTAAGAAAGGGAATAAAAAATAAAAACACCAGGGTGTTTTTAAAATAGGATAATGACAACATGCTGCCAATGTAGTACTTTAAAAAACAATATGATCATGGAAAACACTATCAATGTAAAGTGGAAAACAAGGAAACATAGGGACAAAAAGGAAAAAAGAAAAGAAAAAAATCATCCAGTAATGGAAACTGCATAAACAAAGCTCCATGACTGTATGAAGGAGAATCAAACAAAAACAAAAACTTTTCATGACACAATAAATAAATCATAAAAGTGTAATGTTAAGGAAAAATCATAAGCATCAAAATCTTTTAAAAAGATGAAATTTTGGAGCAGTTTCTTTCTAGTTTCTTGGGAACTGGAGACTGCCAGTTGTGTGCATGAGGGAGGGTTAGCTGGACTTGGAGGACAAGTGTCTGGCACCTGCCTGAGTTGTCTTTGCCTTGCTAATTTCCTTCTTTGTAAACCATGGCCCTCTGCTGGCCACACTTAGCTCTGTAGTCTGTGGGCTGGGTGGGTTCTGTCCCATTCCAGAGACTCTCCAGATGGTTCCCTCTGTGGTGTCTAATGTTCTAGCCAAAGGCACTTCCTAAATGCACTGGGGACCTTGGGAAACAAGCAATTAGTTTAGACAGAGAACATGTCTTCCTACCTTCCAGACCTCTTTGAGTATTAATCACCCTGGTAGAGGGACACAGCTGTGGACATCAACACCCCCCTCCGGAACGTCACAGCTGGAGACGTTGGTCCACCACTAACCTGGGGTCAGGGCTCTCAAACTCCAGGGTTGTTGGTGGTTGATGAGACCTTCCTCTCTGCACTTTCCAGCCTGCACTGAACCACCTGATGGACGCACTCTTGTCAACGTCCAGCCCTCCTACTTCTCACGACTGCCCCCTGGGCCTTCCCTCAGGCTGTAGCAGGCCAAATTGAGGTTCCCTGTCCTGTGGTTGTTCCCTGTTTTCAGGCCCCTAAATCATATAGAGTGACCCAGTATAGTTTCTCTCTGCCACTGACCCATCTACCCTGGAAGAATCTCTATCTCACTAAAATCTGCAGCTTGGGTTTGAGGTTTGTAAGGGCCATGGGCTTGTCCTGAGGACAGGACTGCTTCTTTCCTCTGGCTGACCTTTTGGCTATGGTTCTGTTTCCCCTGCCCACGCCAGGTGCTCTTACCTCTTACCTCTCTGTGTTGCCCACCTCTTTTTCCTGCCTCCCCCCTTTTTTGGTCTTTTTGAGACAGGGTCTCCCTGTAGCCCCAGCTGGCCTGGAACTCACTATGTAGACCAGGCTGGTCTTGAACTCACAGAGGTTCTCTTGCCTCTGCCTCCCAAGTGATAGGATTGAAGGCGTGCGCCACCACGCCTGGCTTTTTCCTGTTCCTTTGTGGATTGCCAAAGCTCTTCCCTTCATTCAGTCTTAGAAATACTCTATTTTTTCTCATTCTGACTCTACTGGCTCACAGAGTCAGCCTCTAGCCTGCCATCTTACCAGGAAGTTCTTCTCTAAAACCAGGTTGGCATCTCTCTCCCTCTGTGCCCCTTTCAAGGTCCAACTGAAAGAAAAGTCAGGAAGCAGTGAGGGAAACAGCAGGCTGTGTAACGTGGCTTCCCAATGACAAACTTACATCCATAGACAGGACAATCCACAGGGCTGCCGAGCCCAGAATTCAGCCTCAGGAAAGAGATGCTGCTATGAGGGGTCGGAGAGATGACTCAGTAGTTAAGAGCACTGGCTGCTCTTATAAAGGACCTGAATTCTGTTCCAGCACCCACATGGCAGCTAACATCCATAACTCCAGTTCCAGGGATCCAGTGCCCTCTTCTGGCCTCCATGGGCACTGCATACACAGTATACTTGAGATACATGCAGGCAAAACATTCATATACATAGAAAAATTAATCAAAAATATTTTTAAAAGAGATGCTGCCATGAGCCTTAAGCCCAGCCCATGCCCTTGACATCTGTCTACACTACCTGTGACCCTAATTATACAGGTTAAGTTCAGCAGTTACAGCAGCAGCCTTGAAGGAAAGAGAAGTTAAAGAGTGCCTTACTTAGTCTAAGACGGGGGTCAGGAGAGAGGAAGTGTCCCATTCTTCCTTGGGAAGATTTTAGCCAACTGTATTCACTGTTTCTAGCCCCAACGGCACCTCACCATCCCACACAAAGCCTAGACTCTCACGGCCTGCAGAACCCAATATGGCAACCATATTGGCAATCTAAGTTTAAATCAATGTGGGTTAAGATTAATTAATATGCAAATAATCAGTTTGTCAGTCCTACATTTCTAGTGCTGAGCTGACCATGTAGGCAGGGCAAGTCTAGACCCGGCAGCTGGTCCTAAAGTCAGGCAGTACCCACAAGGCCACACGGCTTGTTGAAATTTGAGCTGATTCTACCCGTGAACATCAGTAAGAGGGGCTGCTGGTCAGGGAAGAATGAGGTGTGTGGGAGAGGCAGAGCTGTGACTATCAGACAAGGGTGTTGAGGAGGCAGGCAGCCCATACCACTTCACCCCAGCCTTCTCTCTTTTGCTTTCAGAAGCGAGTTTTGTTCTTAACCAATGACTATTTCTTCACGGACATCAGTGACACACCTTTCAGGTAAGGGGCTAATGCCTCACAAGCCAGGTCCAAGGACAGGGCACAAATACCAACAGCTTAAGGTGGGACTAGACTGGGGAATGGATTCCCTCTTACAGAGTGGTTCTGGACTAAGAGCAAAAGGTCCTGGTCAGCTGGTATTCAAGAAATGAGTCTAGACAGGTTTTGCCAATGTGGCTGAATGTCTGGTTCTGCAACCAAATTCCTGGTTTGAATCCCAGCTCCGTCACTTACAGGCTATGTGACCTCAGTCGGGGCACTCGATCTCTCTGATGCCTCATCAGTAAAATGGGGATAGTAATAGCAGCCACTCTTGGCTGTGTTATAAGGAAGACATGCCACAATCTACATAGATATCGAGGCAGGGCCTGGTAGGACAAATGGCTCAAAGTACAATAGTTCTTAGCTTCCCTCCCTCATTTCCCAGTAGAACTTGGGCCTCCTGCTCTGACCACCCATTTGAATATCAGAGAACTCAAAATTACCAACTCCTGGGCCTATGCAAACAAACTACATTAGAATTCTGGGCGTAAACTGGGCATGGGGGCACACACCTTTGATCCCAGGCCTGGGAAGGCAGAATCAGGCAGAGCTCTGTATCATCAAGGCCAGCCTGGTCTACATAGCGAGTTCCAGGCCAGCTGGGGCTACAGGGAGACCCTGTCTCAAAGAATCCAAAACAAACAAACAAACAAAAAAGAATTCTAGAGGCAGAGGCCAAGTGCTACACATTTTAATGCTCCCTAGGTCTAAATCTAATGCTCTATCAGCAGAGGGAGGTGCAATAGGAAAGGAACATTTTACAGGGGACCCTAAGGTCCCTGTCCATTTCAGATAGTCCCTGGGGGCCCAGGACCCACCTTAAGTAACATGGGAGCTGGGGGGTCTTAGGAAGAAATAAAACCAATTAGTAGTGCTGTCCCAGTTCTCAAGGAGACAATTCTGTGAGGCCAGGGCCAAGGATGGGAGCTGGCAGCCTACGCCATTGCCATGTATCTAAAACCCCTGGCATAGTGAGGTCTAGCAGCTGGAGAGCATGTGACCAGTGTGCAAACAAGTGCCTTCTCTCCCCAGCTTGGGAGTGGTGCTGGCCAGGGGCCACGGAGAGCATGTCCTTCTAGGAAACACATCTGTGGAGGAAGGTGAGTTCAGACCACATGCTGACAGATGGGGTGGTATGTGATAGGGGACGCTGAGCAGGGTTGACCCAGCGCAGAGTCAAGATGAGCATTCTGCTACCCCAGCTTGGCCCCAGAGAAGAGGGCCATCCTGGGAGTGTGTTTCGATGAACAGAGCTGCATTTTCCCTGTAGTGGACTATGCTGAGGGAGAAGAGAGAAGGTGGGAAAAGTGAGGGACCAAGCCTGGTGGGAGACCCACATCTGTACCATATGCCTTTGGAGAATAATTCAAAGCCAACTTGGCAACACAGCAGGACCATGTCTAAAAAAAAAGAAGGATGTACAAGTGTGTATCTCTTTGTTGAGTCTGATAATAACAAAGTCCCACACAGTAGTGGCTTTACCCCAAAATCCTCAGCTGGAGGCCAGACGTCTGACTCCAGACCCTGGGCAGGATAAGCTGCTGCCCACAAGGCAGGCAGGAAAGGAAGCATCCTGGCCTCTCCCAGCTCCTGGGAGACAGCTCCCCTGCTCCCATCCCTACTATGGCTTGTCTGCTCCACAGGGGCTCCTCCCTTAGCCGACTGTGTCTTGTAAGGATACCAGTCCCATGAGAGCAGCCCCTGATAGATTTTTTTGGAAAATAAAAGGAAAGATAGAAGAGTAGGAGACAAGAAACCAGAGCCAGACCTGCAACAGGCAAGGAATAGATCTTCCTTTATTCAAAGACGATACAGTGAGAGATAGAGGCTGTCCGCAGGAACCAAGCATCTACAACTAGACAAAGAAAACGGGGTTTTTATATGGGGGTTGTGAGACACAGCTGTACTTTGTGGGGAGTTGAATTAGTGCCTGGGTTTGGTGTCCTTGAGGGTCTCTTTTCTCAGACAGGCGGGTGAGTTTTCTATGGCACCAAAGGAGACAGGTGGGCTCCACAAACAGTCTCTCTCAGTCCCGGGAATGACCAGTTGATAAGGCTTGAGCAAGGCCAGGCTTGGACAAGGTCAGGCTGCCAATTAAGGGCCAGTTAGCCACTTTAAGGGATTTATGGCTTTCCCTAATGAGGCTTGTGGCTCTTCTGCAATTTATACATTCTATCAGCCCCCCTCCCCCAATGATTTCAGCTTGGCTTGATTACATCTGCCAGCACCCTAGCCCCAGACCAGAACTTTCAGAGATCAGGACTAAAGCAGATATTTTGAGGGGACAGGAAGCTTATGAGACTTAATCTGGGAGAGATGGCAGGAAACTGCCAGGTAGGGTGACAGAGAAGGACTCCTCCCCCATCCCAGCCACCCATGACCCCAGCTGCCTGGGTACCTTGAGGACCAGGGTGCCTTCCATAGTGTGAAAGATGGGACATCCCACGTCTGTGCATTCTTTTCTCACCCCTAGGATGCATCTTGCCACCCCATCATTCTCCATCACACTCTAGTCATTGTCCCCTCATCCCTGGACAATCACAGCAGTCTCCAACTGCTCACTCTCTCCTTTTCTTCCTCTGACCCTCCGTCTCAAAATCTTTCTAGAAATACCTGGTCATACCCACAGCCTCCTATCTTTCACTCCTACATCACTAAGCCCCAAGGCTTCCCTGAAGATCCCTTCTCTCAGTGAAGCTCCAGTTCACGCCAGCTCTCTCCAGCTGCCCCAGACAGTCCTGCCCTGCCCCCAGCAGTGTGCAGCCCCTGAAAAGGCCTTCCACAGCACCAGTCCCTGATGTTGGAGATCCCTCCCTCCATCCTCATAGTCCCCATGCCATCAAACACCCTTCAGCGAGCCTCTTCTTTCCTGTTCCCTTCTTCCTTGGCCCAAATCATCCCATGTCTTAATATTGTAAGGTACAGAGGGTGCTATCTACAACTCACTTGTGAGTTGTATAGTCCCTGGACCTCTGGGGGCAAAGGAGCTACCCTTTAACCACCTCAGTTGTTTACTGTCCTTTCCTACAGTTTCACATAGGCTTCGTTGAGCACCTACTTAGGTTTGAGCACTGAGCTGCCAGGAGGGCAGCTGTTCATTCAGTCATTAACCAGCCACTAAGTACACAGCATAAGCTCAGAGCTATGTGAGTCTCCAGAGCCAACTAGGCAGGCACAGCCCACCCTGGACTCATCATGTAAAATAGAGCAAAAGAAAGTAAAATCACTGGTTTCAAAGTGTTATCTCCTTGGAGGTAAGTGCTAAGAGTGTAGCGCTGTGTGAGGCACTGGTGTCTAGTGAGGCATCAGGCTGTGCCCATAACTAAAATCCAGGCCAAAAGGAGGGGGTAACGCGAGAGCTAAAGGAGGAGGTAAAGGAGACCTCTGGCCAGGTAAATGGCTCCTGGAGGAGGTGGCATTCATCCTGGCCTTGAGAAATTAGGAGACCTGTAATGCCAGTTATTTGGGAGACAGTAGGATTTCAAGTTCAAGACCAGCCTGAGCAACTTAGTGAGGCTGCATCTCAAAGAAAAAAGGAAAAAACAGGACGAGGATATAGAGTTCTTGCTTAGTCTGTGTGACACTCTAGGTTCAATCCCTAGTACTTGGGGAGGGCAGGGACTAAGTTGGTGGGAAGAGAAAGGACCTGGGGTACGGAGCAAGGTGGGTAAAGGCATGCTCTTGCAAGCCCTCCCAGCATCCAGCCCTTCCTGAAGAGCTTACTACAGCTTTTCTAGACCTAGGGGTGTACCTACAGCCATCCTGAGTGCAGACTCTGGTTTCAGGCCTACACGACTTGCTACATCCAGATCTAATGCTGGCCAGCGACTGGTAAGCAGGAGGTAAGGGTAGGAGGGAGAAAGATGGAGCTGTGAGATAACACGGGCTCTCTGGGCTTCCAGGATCTACTACCTCACAGATATCGACCCAGATCACTGGAAGCTCAGCCAGCTGGAGGCTGTGGTCCACTTCCTGACAGGGACTGATCCAGATCTGGAGTGTGAGTGTCAGCCACCCGTTCCTGAGAGCTTGTCCTCTGGGCCCCAGCAGCTCAGGGCTTTGCAGGACCGGGGAATGCCATCAACCCACCTTGAGATCACAACGTTGTTTTCAAGGGAGAACAGGAAGAGCCCCAAAGCAACAAGTGGAGCTGGCTTTGGCAGTGGGCCATGTTGGAGTGTGAACACTCTGGGAACTGGAGGGCTACATGAGGGACCAGGGTCCTCTTAAGCCTCTTTCAACCTGCCTGCCTATCAGATCTGTCCCTACCACCACCTTGCAGTGGGCAAGGAGCGGAGAGTGAGCCTTGAAGTCCTCAACTCCTCAGGGGACAGTGTTTGGCCAGGCAGGCTCTTCAAGCCTGTGGTGGGAGTTTTTCCAAGCCTGGGCACTCATGCTTTTGGCCAGTTCACTGGGCCATGCCCTTAGCAAGCCCCTTCCTTCTTTTCAGTCATCCTGCTACATACATGTTCTCCTCACGAAATGATTATCTCCAAGCCAGCCTACCAGGGCATTCATCCAAACGTCCATCCATCCATCCATCCACCCACAAGGCTGAAGTGAACACATACTTGCACCAGACCTGGAGCAAGTATGGAGATACAGACAACCCAGATGAGGCCTGCTCCTTGTGGAGCTGGCAATTCTGAGGGGAAACCAGGCAGCAAGCAAGGGTGCCCAGATATGCAATGTCACAGCCATGACAGGTGCCATGAACACAATACTGGGTTAGGGGTGATGGAGTCGAGACAGCTAAGGATGAAAAATGAGCCCCAGGTGGCTTAATGGGATCTTCTTTGAGGGTGAGGAACATATTTTGGAAGTAGACAGAGGTGGGTTACACAGCATTGTCCATGTAGTAAATGGCATTGAACTGAGTAAGTCAGTTTTGTGCTATGCGGATATCGTTTCAATAAAAATAAATTTTTAAGAGAGAGAGGAGAGTGTGTAGAGTGGAACGAAAGCAGCAGACTGGGGAGCAGCAGGCCCTGTGGCACTGAGGGGAGGAGCTTTCAGTCAGGTCAGACTCACAGCACCCACAGGGAGCAGAGGATGGGGACGGAGATAGCCAGGCTGGGCAGTTCCGGGCTAGCTCAAAAGAACATCTGAATTTCACAGTGTTAGAGCTGGAAGAGTGGGCAATAGCAATTGCTTCTGCTCACATATCTTTGAGGTTGAGGACTCGAGGGTTGAACATTAAGAGGTAACATCCTCCAGCCCACACTGATGGCTTTGACCCGAGAGGCACCTGCATGAGGTTCATCTTGCTACTGAACTTCCATAGGGTAGGACCTGTGTTGTGTTCTTTTTCACCTTTTTTTTAAGACAAGGTTTCATGTATCCCAGGTTAGCCTTGAATATAGCCAAGGATTACTTTGAGCTTCTGATCCTCCTCTCTCTAACTCCAAGTGCTAGAATTCCAGGTTTAAATCACCACAACTGAGCTTCATCCCTGGCCCCCAGGACCTGTGTTCTTAATGGGGGGGGGTACGTGACTAATTCTTGTGACTTTACCCCCAGGTGATGAAGAGCTGGTGTGTGAGGTACTGTTTGACACGGTGGTGACAGCCCCCATGGAAGCCCACTGGACAGCACTGGCACTCAACAACTCAGAGTACGTAATGAGGGCCCAAGGCTTTGGCAGGGGAGACAGCAAGCACACTCGCCCAACAGCCCTTCTCTGGCTGAATCAGGCCCCTAGGGAAGCCACCAACTCGTCAGAGAGAGCCATGATGAGGACAGAAACACATGAATGGGGTGGAACAGGGTGACAGCAGCCTTCACCTCAACCCCAGTAAAGCAGGACTCCCATTCTACAGTTTCTGCCAGCTCCTCACTTGACAACAGCTGCCAAGTGCTCCCCCAGGTGCAAGCCCAAGTCTCCACCCCAGTCCTAGTCCAAGGACCCAGGGCTGGATTGGTTGCCGGGTTGGTCTCTGGCCAAGAGAGCCCACTACTCAAAAAGTACCCTGGTGAGCTCAGGGCAGACAAGTGGAAATTTGTTTCCAGCTGCCAAGGAAGGATACGGATGACCTTGACCTCAGTGCTTCCCAAACCCCTAGATTTCCTTACTCCCTCATTGGCCTTTTCTTGCTGACATTGTTTGGTGGCATTTGAATGGTATGAGAGTTAGGGGACACAGTATGATATTAATGAGGTGATTATACAGGGGACTATATCTTGCTTCTGAATAGGAGAATCCAAAATCATAGATGTCAATCAAACCTCCCCTAAGCACTAAACAAGTTCATTCCTGCTCCCCAACAAAACACCAGAGCTCTGTAGGAACAACTGCCTATTTTAAAAAGTACAATGTGTATTGTGGTGTGTCAGATGTTGCCATTTCTCCCCTACAGGGGTGAGAACATGGTGTTTGTGTGTTTATGTTCCATATGTACATATGATATCCATGGACAGTGATTTAGGAAGGGTTCTCATTGTTCATTTTTAGTTAGAAAAATAGGTAGCTAAGAGAGGGTGAACTATATAACTTTTAAATTTATTTTTATTGAATTTTTGTGTATTTCATATACAGCATCTTAATCATCTTTATCCCTCCTTGTCCATTAGCACCATACATGAATGTATAAGTTTTGATACAATTGTGAACCATGTAAATATAGATCTACAAACAAACCTAAAATAAAGAATCTATAGGGTCAAGCACCAGCCTAAGCACATAGTGCATTGAGAATCAAATGCTCTTGACCAGGAACTGTACTACAGAAAAAGGCCTGGAAGGGGTGTTAGGGAAATTGATAAAGTGCTTGCCACATAAGAATGAGGACTTAAGCTCAGAGCCCCAGAACCCACATAAAAGCTAGGCACAGCAATGAATGCAATTCTGTAATCCCAGTGCTGGGTATGCAGAGAAGGGCAGATGCTTAGAGCTCACTGGCCAGCCAACCCAGCTGAATCATGAGCTCCAGAGTCAGCAAGAGACCCTTTCTCAAGAAATAAGGAGATGGGCCTTGACACATGGCTCAGCAGTTAGGAACACTTTCTGCTCTTGCAGAGGACCCAGGTTTGGTTTCCAGCAGCCACATGGCAGCTAACAAGCATCTGTAACTCTGGTTCCAGGGGATCCAGTGCTCTCTTCTGACTACCGCAGGGGTTGTGTGACATGACTGCACTCACATGCGGACAAAACACTCATACACATTAAAGAAAACTATATATACAAAGAAAATTATAGTTGGGCCTAGGCATAGGTCTGTGATCCTCATTACATAGGAAGCTCAGACAGGAAGATCGCAAGTTCCAGGCCTACCTGGGCTACTGGGCGACTCTGCCCTAAAAAGTGAAAAAGATTGGGATACAGCTGAGTGGTAGCAGGTATGAGGTCCTAGATTTAATCCTGAGGGAGGGGAGAGAAAGAGAGAGAGAGAGATTATGAAACAGTCCTATAAGACATAAAAGCAGACCTGAACTGAACACATGGAAAAACACACGGTGTTTCTGAGTAGGAGGGCACACACGGCGGAGACAGCAATCCTCCCTAAGCGCATTTATAAACCTGCTGCAGCCTCGAAGGGAATGCCATCCACGTTTGTCTGCATCTAGATGACTGACTGACTGTAAAGTTCATCGGAAGAACAAGAAGGAATAGCCAAAAGTCTCAACGTAGTGGAGACCCTGCATCTAAGACATGACCAAGCCTCTATCCACTCTGAAGTATAGTGCTGGTTCAGGGAAAGGCAGCCAGGCCCGGGGCACAGAGGAGAAACAGGGCAGATATCGCTCTGTGTGTGGTTGGCACAAAGCACTGTGCCACCACACTGAGGGGAGATGGGCTTAATGGCTGGCACAGAAGCCAGTGGGAATAGCATACCTGGGCTCTTTTCTCATAGCCACACCTGGCTAAAGTCCAAGTGCTTCAGAGAGTCAGATACACACAAAAGAAGCCATGTAAGTACAAAAGGAAACTGTGATCCATTTGCTCTGACACCTGGGAGTCAGCAAGCTTTTCCTAACATTGACTCAAAACAGAACTGACTAGTAAATTCAACAACGTGAAAATGTTTGTACGAGCAAGGTGAAAGGAACGGATGAGCTAGAAAGCTGTTCACAACCACAAAACAGGTGAAGGTCACCGTCTCTGCCACTATAGCATAAAGAAATAGAGAACTTCAGGAACAACAACAAAAAAAATGACAGAACAGCACTATACAGAAAAGGTGGTCAAGAAGAAATCACAGTCCTTAAGTGTGTGGAAATACTCAACCCAGCTCATAATAAAAAATAATTAATAATAATAATAATAAGTTGGGCATGATGGCACACATCTTTAATCCCAGCACTCGGGAGACAGAGGTGGCAGATCTCTGTGAGTTTGAGGCCAGCCTGGTCTATATAGTGAGTGCCAGGTCAGTCAAGGCTACATAGCAAAACCTTGTCTCAAAAAATAAAAACAGAAAGAAAAAAATAGGTGTTGTCTTTGTTTCTTCATTGCTGTGACAAAATACTCTGACCAATACCAACTTGGGGAGGAAAGGGTTTATTTAGGTTACATATCTTGGGTCATGGTTCATCCGGGAGCCCAAGGTAGGAACTCAGGGCAGGAACCTGGATGCAGGAGCTGGAGCACAGGCCATGGAGGAACACTGCTCATTGGCTTACTCCCATGGCCCCTGCTCAGCCTGCTTTCTTATGCAACACAGGCCCAACTGCCCAGGGCTGGCAGCACCCACAGTGGGATGGGCCCCTTCACATCACTCAACAATCAAGAAGGTTCCCCATGGACATAGCCACAGGCCAGTCCAATGAAGGCAATTCCCCAATTGAGACTCCCTCAACCCAGGTGTGTCAAGTTGACACTAAAGCTATCCAGCACAATTGACCCCTTGTCAACTTGACAAACACATCACTGTTAAAACCATCACCTTTCCAATTCTTGTCCCCAAGATATGATATTAACATTAATTCACAACATAAGACAGTACAACCTTAAAAACCCCACAGTCCTGAAAAAATCCAAACACTTAAAAGTTCATGGTCTCTTTTAAAAGTCTCTTAACTGTGGGCTTCTGTAAAATCCAAAACAAGTACTGTCTTATTTCAAAGGGAAGAATCGGGCACACCTAAGTAAAACCAAAGTCCAGCCAAGTAGCTCAAGGCTGGACATCTGGGATTCACTGACAATCTTCTGGCCTCCAAAGGGTTCTGGCAGCTCCACTGCTCTGACTCTGCAGTCCACAACACACACAGCTCACTTGTAGACCCAGGCCAGCTCCATTCCACACCTACTGCAGTCCTTGGAGGTCATCTCACAGTCCTGGCATCTCCAAAAAGCTGGGGTCTCCACTGAAACTGAGGCTACACTTTCACCAATGGCTTCCTCTTGCCTCTCCGGGTGCAAAGCCTCAGATTCTCTCCATGACCCCTTCAATCCTGGGGTCTTAACTGCAACTGAAGCTGCACTTTTATGTATGGCCTTTCCTGGCCTCTGCGTGTCAAGACTCAGCTGCTCTCTGTGACCCCTTCATGCATTCAACACCAGAACCATGCAGGAGACTCTTACACACTACCAAGTCCTGCTTCCAGCTTGAGATAGAGGCTCGGGTCCCCTCTGTGTGCTGACCCTGAGGAAATACCTCCCAGAAGACTTCACCTCAGTGATGCTGGTCTCTTGTTACTTATAGCTGATTTTTCAGCCCCAGGTAACCAGCATCAGTTGTCCCAGTAAAGCAAAGGTTTTGCTTCAGGTTCTGGTCTCTTCTTAATCACAGCTGATTCTTCAGCCCCAGC